TCTTTATCAATTCGTCGAAATCTTTTATCCGAATAGCAACAACTTTGCTAGGTCTTTCAATCCCCAAATACTTCCACTAGTAGTGCCATATTTATAACCACTGTCCGACGACCTTAAATTCTTAAATTTTATCTTAGTATCTTTAACTTTATTTTCATTTGTATTATTTTTATTATTCTTAAAGTGCATCTATTTTCTTCACTTAAATTAACAATCATACAAATCCACTACCAGGTCTAAGGTGATGGTTCTAAATAAACTTGTGAAGACAGACATTCAATCCACTCTTCGTAGACATGATCGCTTAGCAATGCGTACTAAACCATCGTTTCGTAAGTCGGATGGTTAATGACAAACTTGGCCACTTGTTTTTACTGGTGTAGGATAATCAATTATACTGTTTTTGATCATACAACTCACACTCGTTATAGTAAAGTCATTGGGCTTAAAAAAAAAAATCTTCATTATAGCTTATATCGGGAGAATATTATATATGCATCATTATATCGAGTTGAATTTTAATAGTTCCGTAATTCAAAATTCTTCATTATATCAAATCTTCACTATATCGAGAGTTCACTATAACGAGAGTAAGTTGTATAAACATAGTTTGTGTGATTTACATAGGTTGCATAGTTGAAAGAAACCATGTGGCTTAAAAACAGAATCTACATAAATACTAATCAGTGTAACATATCTCCAATTTTTAATGAGCTATCGATATCGATTTCGTCTTCATAAATTGAACACGCTACTCTATTTTAAATCCATCAAAAATAGGGCATCAATATGGCCAGTAACACCGCCATATCATTTCCGTATATTAAGATATATCACTAGTAATAATAACATAGATGTTCCTAAACGTAATGTGATTTTAGAGTTGGAAAAACGTGGAATGGTCAACGAATTGACGAGGTTTTTATCAGATTTTGAGCAAAATTGGTTTAATGTTTAGTAAATTACGCAATCCAATTACTTAGAAAAAAAATGTCATCGTTATTATTATTATTATTTTAAAGTCCTGATATTATTAACCACGTAAAAAAACAAACAACGATATATTGTGGTATAGATCCTACAGCACCTAGTTTACATTTAGGAAATTTATTAACGTTAATGGGATTATTACATTTCAATATTATCGGCCACCGTACAATTGCTTTGGTTTGTTATATTTTCAAAATAATGAATTTATAATACGTATTGATGTATAATGATCGAATTATCAAAATAAAATTATCAGATAGGTGGTGCCACAGGCTTAATAGGAGATCCATCAGGGCGTAATACAGAGCGTCAACCCATGTCATTAACTATGATAGAACATAATATAACCGCTTTAAATCAGCAATTACGTCGTATATTTAATAATGGACTTATGTACGCATCAAGACGTGGATTCATATTGGATAGTGAAGTCGATAATTTTTCGGTTATGAATAATTTGGAATGGTTTGGTAAAATGTCAGCTCTTGAAATGTTAAGTGATATAGGAAGATATTTTAGGGTTGGGACAATGTTAATGAAAGAAAGGTGAGTTTATTTATTTTTACAAGTATAAAACAAATTTATTTATTTATTTATTTATTTAAAGATCTTTTAATTCAAATCGTAACTTTGCAAAGCGTCAAATCAAGGATGGAAAATGAAAGTGGAATAAGTTTTACAGAATTTTCTTATCAATTACTTCAAGCTTATGATTTTTGGTATTTGTATAATTATCATCAATGTCGGATCCAGGTGATGTAAATTTAATAAGTTTTCTTTATTAAAGTTTCATGTTTATTGAATTTTTTTTTCATTCCAAGTTAGGAGGTAGTGATCAATGGGGAAACATCACTGCAGGCATTGATTTGATCAATAAGAAGAAAATTCACGACGTAATTAACGTTAAAAATAACCAAGATAAATTAGATAATGCATTTGGAATTACTATTCCTTTGTTATTGACTTCATCAGGAGAAAAGTTTGGCAAATCAACAGGAAATGCGATTTGGTTGAATGAAGATATGACTAGTGTTTATGAATTCTATCAAGTAACAATTTTAATTATTATTATTTAATTATTATTATTTAATTATTATTATTTAATTATTATTATTTTATTATTATTATTATTATTTATTACTACGCATATTTTTAATTTATCAATAGTATTTTATGAAAGTTTCCGATGCAGATATAGAAAAATATCTTCGGATGTTTACATTGTTAAGCACTGAAGAGATAGCTCATATTGTAAAAACACATATGGTATGAAGGTTATCAAATAATTTAATGTATTTACAATAGACTTTTAATGTGATTTTAATTACAGGAATCACCAGAAAAACATTATGCACAAGATAGGTTGGCATCTGAAATTACGGAACTCGTGCACGGATGTAGGTATTATTACATACTTAATTATCAAATTTATTTAAATATTTAAAAATAGTTTATCTTCTCATTATTAAGTACAAGGACTTCGGAGAGCCCAATTTGCTACTAGTATTTTATTTGATACACCAATCAAAGATATGTCCAGTCGAGACATAATTGATGCATTTGCAAATGACTCGCGGTGTTTAACTACCGTTAAGCGTAATGATGTTTTAAATTGTTCAATTGATCGCGTAGCTGTTGTTACTGGTGCATGCAAGTCACGTAGTGAAGCTAACAAGCTGATTAAATCTGGAGGGTTGTATTTGAATAGCAAACGCATTAGTGATTCACAATATCAATTGCAAGAAAATGATTTAATTGATGGTGTCATTTGTATATTTAGAATAGGTAGAAGTAATTATCGATTGGCCCAAATTGTTGAATAAAAAAAAAAATTACTTGATATCATAGTAAAGATTAAATTTTATGCTAACATAACTCTAGAGTGTTATGATAATTATTAAATTAGAGCATTTGAATTTTATCATTGCAGTTTACATGACAGAGAATTATTCTTCTTTTCTGCTCTTTGATTCATCCTTAGACAGAGTGCTTGGATTATGAGCCACCTATAAAAAAATGAATTAGAACTATTCAAGAATTATTTGAAAAGTTATTTATTAATTTATTTTTTGCAAAACCTCATGTCCATGTTGATCATCGAAAACAACCTTTGGTGGTCTAGTATTATTAATTAATTTCATTAATAAAAAGTTTATAATAATGTTTATTGTTAGTGTAAATATTTACCTTGCGACAGTTGGATGCTTTTTTGCTTCTTCCTCAGACTTAACGATTTCTTTAACATAACCTTGACGTGATCCTCCACGAAATGGTGTGGAAGTATTTGGGGATTGAAAGACCTAGCAAAGTTGTTGCTATTCGGATAAAAGATTTCGACGAATTGATAAAGA